AAGGCTGTTATAGGTTTTATTGAATACCATATAAAGCTGGCATTATGCAGTTCCCTTGTACTAATAAAGACCTCCTGATGAGCTCTGCGTTAAAAGGCACAGTGGACCAAACTATTGTCTTGATATCAATGAATGGCTGCACATTCTTAGGGTTATTTTCATTCTCTCAGTTTGAAAATCTAAAAAAAAACATCTTCAAACTATTCCAAAAATAATCAGAGCCTTGTATAATTTGGGATAATGTTGATAGGCCTATAATAATTTCTTCATCCTTCAGAGCTTATGTTTTACTATCGCTGTCTTGAATCTCAACACCTCTTTGTCTTCATGCATAAGCAGCAGAACACATTGGATAGTTTCCTTTGCTTTTGTCCCAGTCCCCACAATCAACTCTGAGCTCAAAATGTTTTGCTCCTAACCCCGGCAGATTTTTACTCTTAAATGCAACGACTTCTGTGTTGCCACCTGAAAATTAAATATCATATAAACTCAAAGCATCTGATTTAAGAATTTTCTCATCAGCATTAGGACCAGGAAACACCACTTAATAAAAATTTTGTATTGCTGAGATAACAACAACCAATCAACCAAACAAAAAACCTGTGTTCAGCTGTTAAGGAATAAAGTGTGAGCCAGTGTAGGATTTTGAAATGGGGAGGCTGCATTTCCAAAATAAGGGACAGACTAGGAGGGAAGGCAATCTGGTCACATGAACAGAGCACGGGACTGAGGACCAGAAGAGATGAGTTCTACTCCTGCTTGCTTGACTTCATCTACCCTGGCCTTCTGTTCCCCTCTCACCTTTAGTCTGTTTTGACCTAAAACTCTTTGGGGCAAGCACTACCACTCACCATGTGTTTCACAGTGCTTAGCACAATGGGCTCCAAAGTGCTATTATAATATAAATAAGCACACACTGAACTCAAGGGGAGTGGATGGAAATAGTCTGGTCAATGAGTATTTTTAGTAGCAATTTCTTGGAATCAGTGAGACAGATGGAAAAAAGACAGGGTCTATGTGATAATACCTTCTTGAGTCTCTGTGTGCAAGAGATGAAAGCAGCTGTGTGATAGATGGAAGCCTTGGAAGATGCTCAGTTTGTCATCATCTATCACGTTTTGTTGACACCCATGGTCCATTGGCTCAAGCTATTTCAGAAGGCCATGCTCATGAGATCATGAACTGGAATTCTTTGAAAGATGGTCTGTCTGCATCCTTGCAGGAGGAATAACAGGTAGTTCGATTTAGGGCTTTAATTCGAAATACCGGGTCCCTGCCTCGTGTAGACGCGGGCAGTTAGTCCGGACTTGTAAATTTCAAAAAATGGCGACCAGCCGGAAAGATGCAAATCCCGGGCTTCATTTGCAAATCTGAATGCCTATATTAGCCTCCCTGGTTTGAACTACGGGGCTAGTGTAGTCATACCCTTAGATCTCTAAACTGCAAGACTATCTGTTGTTTAAATTTTTCCAGTTACAGATTAACTCGGCTACCCCTCTGAACCTGTCTTAACAATAGTCAGCCAGCAAATCTTACTATAAATAAATCTGGACAGCAGTGTTTGGACTATGTGCTCATAAATATGCTGTATATACAAAGCATATTAGTTTTCATACAAGTCCAGCACAGCAAGCTATGCATTACCCATGATTGTTAGTTGATGTGATACATGATGACTTCTTTCTATATGTTTTTATTAAACTGCTGTTATTTAAAAAAAAAAAGTTCTCACTAATTTAGGGAGAGAGGTTTTGTTTTTTTTAAATCCGTTTTGTTCTCTCTTCCTAAACTTGGAGTCCAAGAGGCAGTTTTTTGTACTATTCAAAGGTTTGAACTGTGCAAAACTGGTATAAATTGCTATTGTTTCTTTTATCATTTCTATGTACCTGTCGCAATGGCTGCTGGGATAGAAGGTAAACAGTCAGAGATAAACACTCAGGACACTGAAAAAATTCTAACCATTAATGCTTAGGTTCTCAGTCAGTAATTTAACTAGATTAAAAAATGTTATAGTTGCAGTGTTTTTCACGTATTTAAATGACTTTCCTCCTTGCAATTCGTAGTCATCCTTTAACTCTGGATTATAAACTTTCCTTCCTTTCTAGAGCACGCAACTAAACTGAGTTGATATTGTAAGGTTGTTGGTAGCAATACAGTCAATTGATTGTTTCTGAAAGCAATGCTTTATGTCAGGCTACTCAACATGTGGTCCATGGCTCGTTTGTATGCGGTCCACGGCGCCTTGAGCTGCTTCCTGGGCTGCCTTGTCGCTGTGGGCTCCAACAGCAGCGCCTCCCAGAGAGCCAAGCTGCACTGCATTGAGCCAGACTGTATGCGCAGGAGCTGCAGGCCTGTGGGGGTGGGGTGGGATGGGGAGGGAGAAGCAAGAGGTGGCAGCAGAACACGCCTGCCACAGCGGCGGCGCTTCCCTGCGAGCCGAGCAGTGCTGCACTGAGCCAGGCCACGTCGGTGTGTGCGCAGGAGCTTCTGGGGGAGGCAAGAGGCAGCGGGGGAGCCGGGCAGCAAGGCACGTGGCAAGGTAGTGGCAGAGCCGGGCAGCGAAAGACGTGGGGAGGATTTTTTGCTCTGCAAAGAGGGTTGGGGAGGGGACACAGCAGCACGTACCTTGAATGGAATTTTCGGAGCCATGAGCCCGGACCATTCACAGGCACTCTGTGCACGGGCCCCAGCACTTGGGAGGGAAAAGTGCATGGTTCCAGTGAGACCCAGGTGCGTTACCCTCCGCCCAGCTAGATGGTTATAGCAGGGGGCTGAGGTTGCCTGGCTCTCAGGGAGGCATGAGTGCGTTGGAGCAGGGAGGCTGGGTGTGCTGGGTTCTGGGGGAAGAGAGGGGCACTGACTTAGAGCAGATGGCTGGGGGATACCTGGCTCTAGAGGAGGGGTGGGTGCATTGGGTTGGAGCAGGGAACTGGGCATTAAAACATCTGGCTTCTTTCCTTTCCTGTAGGTGGGCAGTGGGTCTGTTGGTTAGATTTGGGGGGTTCCAGTCTCTGCTCTGTGAGGACTGTCAGTAGGGTTGCCTGGTGTCTGGTATTGACCCAGAGAGTCTGGTATTTTCGCCTCCTATCCAGTATTTTCTGATTTTTTTCCCGGTGAGGAGGAGAAAATACTGGGTGCTTAACTGGTTCCGCAGGGGAGCTGTCTGGCCCGGAGCAGGAAGACAAGATGGAGGACAGCTACCGGCAGCCTGATAGGGCCAAAAAGGCATTTCTTAAAGGGGCCATGCTGGGTTTTTTAATTTTCTTTTTTGTTTAATAACTCTCGGGGTCCTTTTTTTTTTTCTTCCCTCCATAACAACTTTGGTCTCACCCGGTTCCCCCCCCCCCAACAGAATTTTTTACCTGGTGGTTTTTTTGGGGGTTGGGTGGGGGGAATGTTTGGTATTTTGGTTAAACCATCTGGCAACCCTAATTGTGGGAGCTGGTGCTTGGTGGGGCAAGCAGGGGAAAGGAAGGGATTCTGGGAAGCAGGATTCCTGGGTTCCTTTTCTAGCCGTGCCACTTTTCCCTTTGGTGCCTTCAACTTCACATTGATTGTATTTATATTTCAGTAAATATTATATTGGCAGTTTTGGTTTGATTTGTTAAAATTCTGAAGACAAAACAAAAAAGTAGTCTTCTGTTTATATGTGTTTTAGTAGTTAAATTCCTGGGCTGTCATTGCTCATTAAAAGGGCTGTCATATGGGTGGTAATCAGGTAAATATTGCATTTTGTTAATATCAGAAGAACTGACTTAACTGGGGCCTGTTGTGTAGTCTTGCCTTAATCTTTGTATTCATGCCTATCAAGGGAGAGGGATAGCTCAGTGGTTTGAGCATTGGCCTGCTAAGGACAGGGTTGTGAGTTTAATCCTTGGGGAGGCGATTTTGGGGAAAAATTTGTCAGGAATGATACTTGGTCCTGCTGTGAAGGCAGGTGACTGGACTCGATGACCTTTCAAAGGCCCCTTCCAGTTCTAGGAGATAAACAAAAATTAATGGAGATTGCCTAACTACAGGCAGTCCCCGGGTTACGTACAAGATAGGGACTGTAGGTTTGTTCTTAAGGTGAATCTGTATGTAAGTCGGAACTGGCATCCAGATTCAGCCGCTGCTGAAACTGACCAGCGCTGACTACA